CTTTAAATAGAGCTGGGGAAAGCCTATGGCTCCCCGGCGCTTTGTGACGTCCAAAGGCTTGGATCTGGCCAAAGTTGGTTGACGATGGTAGAATTCTATGCACCACCACCCCTGCCTGATATCTGGCGCTAACAAGATCACTGCGCTGCTCGCATCAAAAACTCCATGAGAGATGCCAAGGGAATTTTCACTAAAATATCAATATGACTGTACATTAACTCAGTGATTAACGCTAAAAATTTCAATCCGCATCAGGTCCCCTCGATTTGTCTCAAGAAGATTATTACTCTATTTCCGAGGTACGCGTTTTGCTGTGGTTTCAATCGAACGAAAAATTCAGTCAAGCCCTTTTGGTGTGTTATAACGAATTGCGTGATGGGATAGTAAGGATTGTTTCTCTTATCTTGTGGGGTAGTGTTTGTGTGATCCTATAATCGCAATAATTCAGTGCACCGTGTTTGCTCAGCAGCGGCATTAGCGTTATCATCTCTCAGCAAATCCGGTTATTGGACAAATGATGTCCAAGTGAACGAAATACTCAGCCACATCGGATCATTTTTTCCCATCCAGTTATTCTGATCCGTATCAGTTCTTGATAATTATCAATACTTCGAAGCATTGAGTTCCCTTTATCCATTTTATCAAAACATTAAAACATCGGATTTCACAGATCAAGTTTGCTTCCACTGGTACCGATTAAACAGCTACACAAACCTATGTCAAATAACAAAACAACCATGTGATCTATTCCACTATCCATTTCTAATCACAGCAATTACTGTTGTTGTTCCATTCATCCCTTTTTTTATCGACACAGACTGTAGTCGTCATCAGTTATCCGAAGAGGCCTCGGCTCCATCGGAGAATTATTCTGCTGATTCCCGGTCCAGTCGGAAGCATGGTAGTCGATCGGAGAAGAGGTTGACCGAACCAGAGTCTCGTTCGAAATCCAAACGGACGGAACACGATCGTTCCCCGAATCCTATCAAGTCCAATCCAGTCCCCCGATCCTACAGCGCGTCCTATTTGGGTTATGACCATCCGACAGAACAAATAGAAGGCCCAGAGTCGGAAATTGCACAACAGTTTCGTTCCGATACACGTCATGCTGATAAATACAGTCGAAAAACCAAGTCGAAGAAATCCAAGCGGGATCGTTCAGATCGAGAGCGTAATCGAGAACGAGACGAGTATAAAATGCATAAAAAGTCCAGCAGGCTACCGAAACCGCACTCTTACATAGATTTAGAATACGGAGACTGGGAAGCCAACAAGTATGAAAAAGCTCCAGCAGTGGAGCTAGGAAAGCGATCAACAGTTGGTGCTGTGCCTGCTGACCGTGAGGTTGTCAGTTCTGTATCCTCCTCTCGATCTTCTTCTTCCTCTGGCTCAGCCTCTGACTCTCGTNGTCAACATCGTCTCATCGTTCTGGACATCGGAAACATCGGTCCAAACACGGAACATCTCATTCTAAAGTCGATCCCGAGAATCCGCAAGGAAAACATAAACATAAATATCATCGAAACGCCCGGGAAACTGCTCCACCACCGGATTTAATGCGAACTCAAGGTGCACTGGATCCGGACTTGCGTAATCTGCCCTCTGTTTCTCGGACACAGAAAGGTGATAAACACAAACTAGACGGATCTAAACAGAGTGATCCACAAATTCCTTCCAAAAGGAGTCGTCATGCGATCGAGCCGATTGATGAAGGAACAGTGTCAGATAATGGTAATGGGTCTAGACGCCCAATCTCTCGAGTGGATTCAGACGGCTCAGATCGCCGAACTGTCAGCAACAGCACCGCGAATCCAATTGGGGGAAAATCGGCAGACTCTGATGACACCACCAAAGTTCTTCGTCATTCTTCCCGTGCTGCGATTACTGGCTATCCGCATGCCTTATCCAGTAGCGGAAGTAGTAGCAGTGAGAGTGGTGAACAAAGTGACTCAAACACTCGATCCGGCAACGACCAAGCGGATGAAATTGGCCATCCGAATCAACCGAGTCGTGAATCCGCAGTATCGAAACGTGCCGCTCCGTTCTCTCTACGTCACACGAACCCGTATCGGTTATACTCAGAATCCGAATCGGAAGAGGATGATTTGGATGCAGAAAATCCTACCCGAGACAGTGATGATGCAATGGACGAGGATAGACAACACTCGGGTGAACAGGATGAAATGAACGGTGATGATAGAGGTCTAGCTGGCTCTGAGCGAAAGAAATCACCGGTTCCTAGCAAGCCCTTCTATTTCCCTTCTATTCAGGTGCGTTTTCAGTTCCATAAGTGAAGTGAATATGCACTGTTGAGGTATTTCCAAGTGTTCAAGCTGTTTAGCAACTTAACTCCATCAGATGTACGAGGAATGGATTTGAATAATTCCCACTCTGATCACTCTTCTTGTTCAGTAAATTGACACTTGATTTTGTTGATTTTTTCGTATAGATATTTGTTAATTAGCAACCTTAGCCTTGATGCGCAAAGTGCCAATATAAACGATAGTTACCGTGTCCTAAATTAACGGCATCTGATTTTTTCATTGGTCGTCCACCCCATGTCATGTATTCGATTGTGACGGGCAGTAAAATGAAAGTCCCACCATCATCGTGATTCCAACTGATGATGTTTATTTTGAGACCTGGATTAATCAACCACTCCAAACCCAACAGCAAGGGTGTGATTTTATTATGTTATTATATTATTGTATGTTACACTTATTTGGGTCCACATTCCGTGCCAAACAAACCATAGTACAATACTATAACAAAGAAATGAACCCATAACTGACCTGTGGTTGGATTACGACCAGGTTTCCCAGGTCAAAGCAATGCCTTCGATTTTTGATCTAGGTTTAAGTGTGACCCACTAGATGTCGGGGCGGTGTTTGAAAACCACAATCCATTAAAGGTCAATGTCTAGTTAATGGAATCACATTTTTTGCCGAGTTTCTATGTCCAAGCTGTTGACCACTGCCACAACCGGAAGGATGTGGGTGTGGTTCGTACGTCTCTTCTTGGTTTGTTTGGAATCGCGGTTTTCTGTTAACTCCCTTTAGTGAACTTCCGCTGATTCATTGACGCAGTTATATCCCCAGATATTGGTTTTTCATCCTCTCACTCTAGTGGGTAAATCGCTTTGCTACGTAAAGGCGGTGAGTACGACTTCCTCAGCAGATGCCATTCGAGACGCTCAGTAGTCTTAGAACATTTCGTGAGGTGCAAGAGAATGGTAACTAGTCATAACTTGATCATATTAAGGCTTTCGAAGTCTTAAGTGTACTCAGGGTTTTGTCATAAGCATTACAACGAATGATGTGTTCACAATGTTCTACTAAATGTTGGATATTAGGACGTCAAAAGTTGAGCATTTATGTTCCTGATTGATGCAAGTAACCTGTTGAATACTCCCTGTTAGTGATTTCATTGTCGGATAGCATTCGGTGAAGAAGAAAACGTCTCATAGCAACCGAAAACAATTTGCACTGGGTACGGATAATTAGTTGTCTGGGCTCTAGGGTGACAAGAAAAATGAATCACAATTTTCTTCATCTCCTAGATGACATCGTGTGCCTGTTCGAATGTATGGAGGATGCGCAAACCGCTCTTGACAGACTTTCAAGTTCCGTTGTTCCGTTCGGCATGCGCTTTGCACCTTCAAAGTGCAAAGTGACGCTACAAGATTGGGTGTCGTTTATCCCGGTGATATAGCGGAATGTTTCTCTTACTTGGGTAGCTGCGTTTCAAATGACGTTAGCATAGACAATGAAGTAACCGCCCGCATTTCCAAGGCTCGAGCAGCTTACGCAGGATTGAAACACCTTTGGTGTAGACGCAATGTTTCGTTGAAACTGAAAGGTCGTGTATACTGCGCCAGTGTGTGGTCGGTTCTGCTCTATGGTTGCGAGACCCCAAATTTGTGCGTGGAAGATATTCGTCGTCTAGAAGTGTTCAACTGCCGATGTTTACGTAGTTTGGCGCTGGTTGGATGGAGCGAGCCTGTAGGCAACTCTGAGGTGAGTTGTCGCGTATTTGTTAATGATCCGATGGAGAATTCGTTGTCC